CGGTGAGCCTCACGGTATAGCGAATAGTTCCACGCAAAATTGTGTCGAGACCCTTTGCTTCCGTGCCGTCCGCGACTCCATACATCTCCGCGTACGAGATAGAGTCTCTGTTAGGGATGAGCTCAAAATTGAATCCCTTGTAAATTGGCAAAGGTCGCGCAGACTGCAGAAGTTCAGGGCCAGGAATGGTGACAATCTTTCCATCCTCCTTGAACCGGGCGGCGTTGAGTGCGGCCGTCAGAGCACCTTAAAATGTACTTGTGTTCGGAAATTAGACGCAAAAGCAAACAAAATCAGAAATAATACCTCGTGGACTCCACGTGTATTTATAGCCAATCGGATTGTCGGAGGATTCCGGACTGCGACATAGGGGATGATCACTCAGTCTGCCACTCTCATGAGGGATGACTCGTCCAAGCAACTTCGACAGACCTAACCAAACCTCCACAGAGGCTAACAATTTTCTTGACTACACCGCCTTCCTTCTTTGCGTGATCGATGATTCGCATAATCTCGCAGTGGTCAAGTCCCGGGTCAAGACCGATTTCATTGACAATGGTCACTCCGAGGTTCTTTGCCTCAGCGTCCAACGCCTTCATGTCCGAAGAGATGTAGCTTGCTGTTACCATTGGTGTCCTCTGCTTGAGGCACTCCCGTGCGACAACTGGATGAAGGGCGGCTGGAACTAGGCTCACAACACAATCGGTCTCTTCGATGAGTCTGGCGAGGTTTTGAGCGTCGGAGATATTCAGTTGCTCTACGGGAACCCGAGGGCGCCCACGCGCAAGTCTCTTGGCTTCGGCGAGGTCGGCAGAAGCGACGGTGACGGACCACTCGGGATTCTTCAGCAAGTATTCTATTGCTGGAGACGCCACAAGCCCTGAGCCTAAGACGAGTACCTTGGCGTTGGGTTTTACGACTGGTGGGCTTGATGTGCGACTCGTCAGGTAAACGGAAAAACCAACACAGTGCTTGGTTCTCATGTACTCACGCCGGAGTACCATACTTTTCGATGGATGGAAGCAGCTTCTGATGTCTTCCCACCAGTTTCCCGTCGAGATCAGTGATTGTTGCACGTGCGACAACCGGGTGTTCAAAGTTGTCCTTCAGCTGTAAACCGTTCATATTGTTTTGAAAGGTGATGAAAGTACAGCAATCCCAAATGCACACACCATCTCTCTAACAAACGGCGAGAGGGCTTTGCTGAAGTATTCACTCGCTTCGAGAGGGAGCTCAGTTGGTAAATTATCAATGGACATAATTTGAATACCCGGTGCTTCAATATTGTTGTGGTAAGTTCCTTGAAGAGGGTCATAGTAGTAAAACGGGGAGTCGATTGTAGAGGCCTTGTTCATGAACTCAATAGATCCCTGGAAGCCATCTCCATTAGTCTGCCTCATAGTGTTCTGCAAATATGATATCAGCTACAACACACCTCAAAGTCACAGCTAATATCTGCGAGTGCCATCAACTTCGGTCCTTTCCTGCCTCGATTTTCAGCATCTGCAGTTATGTGCTTAAACTGCTCACGTGTGAGAATCCGTGGGTATCGTCTATGTCGTTGGTTCAAGATCAGAAATTTCCAAGGAAAAGTGAGTTTCGGCTTACCGATCCCAGTAAATTCCATTGACTATAACTGTTGCATACGGCGCAAACTGTACAAGATCTTGAATGGTGATAGGATGAACAAGGGGCAACGTTTCATTCAAACCTTCTCATGGAAGACGGACTCATACAGCTCCGGATGGGCAAGATAGTCTTGACGCTCGAACGGCTTTCCGTCCTTTCGAACAGCGTAGTCCTCGGCCTTGACCTGACATGCATAAATGCGCTTTGGGTCAAAATCTTAAGATGCCATTTGTCAATATTTTCGAATGAAATTCATGCGACACCAACTTACCGTCTCCTTCCACCAAAGGTTTAAGATCATTGGCACTGATATACTCGTGTGGCAGACATTCAAACACTTCTTTTGCACCTTGCGTGACATGCCCTGCTCCCGTGAATACGATCGTAGTAGGTCCAAGTGATCGGGGCAGCCCTTCATGCTCCAAATGTAGCCCCGTCATTCGCAGTGCCGCTTTGGCGTCGAAGAGAGAGCGATACCTGGTTCGGTAACTTTATTCGAAAGATCAAAAATGTTGTTCGAGGTGTCGTTACCCACATGTGCGTCATACCAACGTGAAGGAAGGGGGTGCCATATCCAGAGGCCAGAAGGCGGAGGCCCAGCCCATGTAAAGAATCAACAATACCTGCATAGCCAGCAAAGGCTCCGAAGAGGACGAGCCGCTTCAGGTTGTCATCTGTCATGAGTTCATAGTCGATGAGGCGAATGCGCTATGCCAACGAGTAAACATGGGTTCATGACACACACACAAAATTACGACAAACCAACCTTATCCATGATCTCCTTCAGCATTCGCATGTTATATGGCTGTCCTTTGTGTGTATGCGAGAAGAACACATACGTCTTCTCTGGAATCAACTCGTTGATGGCAACCTCTTTCACACCAAAGATGATATCGGCATTCGAGAGATCTTCCTGAACCAAAGCTCCCGCTTTCGCATAGCGCTCATCCCCGAATATTCTCTTTGTTGAGGGCTGTACATATACCGAACAATTGAGATCTTTGACTAGGCGCTCGACAACCTTGGGAGCTTCACAAAATTGAATAATCAGAGTGCCATATGCTTCAGACCAAGACGGCGCGCACAAGAGGACGCGATCCAAGAGTTCGATAAGGTCATGGCTGATTCCCTTCCTCATTTTCCAGAGCTCCATCGCAGTCCACTCAAATTACCCCAATACACGTCCTCACAGTTCCAAATCGTGCAAATTTCGGGCCTTCAGCTCGAAAAACGCCAACATAAGACACGCCGACACTCACATAGGGCTACCCTCCGTTCCCACCTATTTTTCCCCTCCCTTCGAATCCCGATCGATAGCGTCTTCCCAGGTGTCTCTACAGAGTATGTTCTTTGACCAAATGTGGGTTTTACACGGTCTGAAGATATTTCGACGGCGATGTGGCGAGCTAGAAGCGGGCAGACGCGCATCCCCGCACCAATGCCATCAACTGGCGAGAAGGAACGTGCGAAGAGTGCGAGCATCGGACGGCCTTATCTCGCAAGATTGAACGAACGAGAGGGCAGGTTTCGTCTCCCAACAGATCCTTGATGAATCAAGCCAGGACCCTCAAAATATTTGGATTTGTTCAACATTGTATTTACCCATTATGTCTGAAAGCACCTCGCCCCAATGCAATGAGATCCAGCTTGAAACAGCCACGAAGACAACGGACTAACGTAGAACTGCCGTGGACGCGTTATTTCACCAGAGAAAACAATTTCATCGGTTATATATAATGATTACAAAGAAAACTGAAGAGGAAAGATGAACAGGAGTGTGCCAACTCTCTTGTGGTCGCCTGCCCTTGCGCATCCGTACATCCCAACCTCACCACCCAGATTCAGCACAATCACCATCGGATCCTCTCGATGGCCGCGCTCGTTGTCCAGCCAAGCCCTACAGCTGCGGTTCAGCTCACCTTTCCTGATTCACAATCCCACTCCTTACCGCCCAACTCAACACCGGCCCCACAGGCTCCATCGGACATGGAAATCACCTCACACGTAGAGCGAAACCCTTTGCTGGACAGATTGCTGATTCTCAGGATGGCGGCCACAAAGTATCTTGGGGGCGTGGAAGCTGTTTTCAAGTAAGCGCCGCGATTTCCCGACCGATTCATCAACACACACTCAAACCGGATGTGATTGTATCGCTAAACGAAACAACCAATCGTTTCTTCACAAATCTTCACGGACGTGTGTGCCAATCGTCGAACCCATGCTCGTTGCTCTTTGCCCACACAATCGTGATTCTCTCGCTGCATTGACGCTCACTGCGCTCGAACTACCAAACGCTTTCCAGCTACCAACAACTGGAACGCGCGTTTCCCCGGCTCGCTGAACATTCTGAAGAGAATCTTCGCAGCGCGCATGAGCAGATCAATGATTTTATGAAAAAGCAATCTCTCGTGGGTAACACAAAGATACGCATTTGCTCCACTTATCTGAGATATCTTTCATCCTTTGAGGTCCAATTTGAAGCCATTCTTGACAAGCGAAACCTTCCTAAAAAGCTCGAAGAATTGTTGGAAATGTGCGAGGATGCCGAAAGAAGACTGCATGAAGGACGAGAAACGCAGGGAGGAAGTCTGAAACAGAGCAGGTGAGCTCATTCGCCCGCTTCAACACTGTACTGTTGCTTGATGCTTTGGTCTCCGATATACGCTCATTTCGACTCCTACATTTGCCTTCTTTTCCTGGCGGCGCCTTCAGCATTTCTCCAAAGATTGCCACACTTGCCGCCGTTTGTCCTAAAAAGCGTGCTGAAATCGAAATCCTCAGGGCCCGAAAGGCTCAAATACGGCTCGAAAATGAAAGCTTGATGGCAAGTGTGAAGGAACGGCACAGCGCCTTGAAAAAGCGTGAGGAAATTGGGAGGACTTTGATGAAAGCATTGGATGAGGTAAGGAGATTGAAACGCAATCGTTGCCATTGCGTGTCGTAAACCTGAGTACCCCTCCTGGGCTTTCTCCCATCGTCATTTTAGCGCGACCGCACCCTTCCAAATGCATCCCTCAAGTCCACAATCGAACTTGCCGAGGAGCTTGCCTTCGGTGCTCCTGCCGCGGTGTAAATAATTTGAATTGTTGTCCGCTCCAACGGTGGACTGGGGGAAAGGATATAATTTCGTTGTACAATTTTTCTTGCTTGAAGCCTGCATGTGGAATGACACGTTTTAGTCAATTACATTCGTTTGATTTCGATGCAACTACATTACCCCAAACATTCAAAGCTCCGCCATTCTTTGTTGGGTCTGAGCCGCGACTGTCAACTTAAACCGCGTAAAGTTAGACAACCCCCGCCAGCTTTCCAAAAAGTCAAAATCAGATTAAACCAGTTGTGGAATAAAAGACTCAAAAACCTAAAAGGTATGCTGCACCCTGGAGTCGAACCAGGAACGTGTCGGCCACAACGACATGTGATACCGCTTCACCAGTACAGCCGATAATTTAGTCTTTATTTTTTTATATTATGTTTATTATATATTTAAATACGTCACCCATGGCAACAAACTTTATTACATATTACTATCTCCACGCCGCTTTTCTCATTCACTTCATTTATTCAACATTTTCACCTTTCCGAAATAGAATTTGCTCTCCAAAACAATTGAATAAGTTGGGTTGTTCAGGCCTTCCCTCTGCGGGCCCCCTTCATGCGGTCTCGCCTGAGAAACAGACTCGTCACTAAAAACGCGCCCGCGGTCGCCGCTGCCGCTTTAAACACAAGCGAGAGCGAGGCCGTGTATGCATCGACAACAGGCTGTACAAGCGACACGGGAACTTTGCCGGCGTCTCGGATTTCGGACGGGTGGTTCGTGACGTACTCCAACAAGGTTTCGGAATCGATGAGTTGGATCAGTCGTGAAGAGAGGGCGTTGGTGAGGACGCTTCCGTCGACTTGTGTGATCTGTAAGTCGCTCTGGCAATAACAACAATTGGGCACGGAGTCGTACCAGCAATCCCTAGAATTCCTCCGAGCGCCTGACAGAATGAATAGCTCGCTGAAAGGAAAGGAAAAGATGTGGGTTGACATGGTTTGAAGCAGCTTTCTAAACCAAACACGTACATATCATAACTGCCAGCCGAGGAGGAGCAACAACGCTCTGGCCACTTTGGAAATAATTTTGGATTAATTTACGAATCAATCCATTGGTGATTCGAACGGGGGTATCTCACTTCAAGTTTATGCTTTGAGACTGAAAAGATGTGCGGCGTCGTCAAACAGGAGATGCATACAGTTGAAGCAATGCTCTCGAAATCTCACTGCCAATCCAGACCCCATCCCCAGAAGGACAAGGTATCCATATTGCTTGTCAAGCCCGCTGTCCGATGTCAGCGTCGACGTAAGTGCGGCACCAACGATAAAGCAACAAGCGCTGAGGTACACAATTGGTGCAGTATAGCCGGTTGATGATATTGCGATTCCCCCAGCAAATGTCAGAAGAATGTGTCCCAGAATGAGTGGCAGGGTGTGCACTCCAGCGGCAACAGCTGCGTACGTGCACGCGGAACGAATGAATGTTGCATTGAGGTGGGCACGGCCGACGATGGACGAGTACTATTTGACTTGCCTTTATCGCCATTCACAACTTGGAAGTAGATCGGGACATAGTATGTCCTATTTTGGCGCACTTTAAACGTTGTAACGATGGCGTTACCGAAGCAACGACCTACAACGAGAAAAAGAGCGCCCCTTGAAGAATCCCGCACAACCATACGGGGATGAGCGCCCTATTGCCCCACAAATCGGCAGAAATGAGAGGATTTTTGGAGAACTAGGACAACAGCAGGTAGGCAGTACGTCAGCTTTTCTTCTTGGCACCCCATTCAAAACACACGCAATAAAACGGCACAAACGGAACCAACCTTGAGTTGCGACGCGACGAACAGGACCGCGCATGCGAATGACAGGACGAACATCGAAATGATCGCCGCGGAGCTCCATGCGTATTCCACGCCGCCCAGCGAGAGCGCGCTGGCGAGGAGGACCGTGGCTGTCGCGATGAACAAGGTTCCCAAGTAGTCGATTTTGCCCAGTTTGTTGCGGATGTCGCCGTGCGGCTGCGAATGAGAACAAAGGTGAGGTCACATCACCACTTTTTGACACTCGGAGATCTGAATGGGATGGGTGTAACTCACGATTGGAAGTCCCAAATAGAAAATTACCACAAGGGCTGTGAGAGCTCCCACAGGGAGGTTGATGAGGAAACACCTGTGGAACAGAAAAACTGTGGTCAAGGAGGAAGAAAAACAAAAGATTGCGTAATTTCTTACCATCGCCATGAGACTCGGTCCGTGAATGCGCCGCCGACTAACGAAGTATTCCGAATCAATTCACCACTCAGATGACGTTGGTATCTTTTGATCACTTACGAAGAGGGCCTATACAGAAGATTCGTCACTACGGGTGACATTGCGTTGTCGGACTGAAATGTTATTCCTACCTGCAATGCACGCAATTCCGAATGCTGCAGCAAAAATGCTCATGTATTTCGGCCTCTCCCGGAGCGGGACGACGTCTGAGACAACGATATAGGCCTTGGTAAAAAGTCGGATCAGTTTCAAGACAAGATGGAGAGATTGATTTCGCTGCTTGTTTTCTCACGAGTGGGAGAAGGGCGCCGCCACCGAGGCCCGATACAGCGCGTCCAGCAATCAAGATAGCCATGTTTGGGGCCAGCCCGCACATGAGAGATCCAGCCTCGAAAATGAGAATTGCTGATAGGAGTATTGGCTTTCGTCCGAAAATGTCGGCCAGCTTTCCGTACGTCGGAAAGAAGGGGGTGGATGAGAGGAGATACGCTGTTCCGACCCAGCTCAGACCGGAAAATGTTTTGAAATCTGTGATGATGGAAGGGGTCGCGACGGCGACGACTGAGGAGTGAGAGGGGGTGAGACTGAGGATCCATCCCAAAAAGGAAACTTGACTCAACCACTCACTCGTAATGTCGAGCTGGAGAGGTCGATTTGAATAATACATGAGCGAGAGGGAGACATGAGCCAAAAATGAAAATATGAAGACGCACTGCAGCCATGAACACGCTCAGCGCCAAACCGAAGAAGAGCATTCCCAGCTGAAACGGGGTGCTTTTGGCATCCGATTCATTTTTGCTGGCATCTGCGAGATCTGTCGACGAAGACGTAGCGGACGTTTTCAGGGCCAAGCTTTCGCCTTCTTTTCCAGATTCCTCGTGTTCGCCCATCCTCCAGTGAACGGTTGTTGAGGAACAAGCCGATCACACGCGAATCGCAGCTACGACTAATAAACAGATATTTGAGGGTCTGAGGGAGGCATCGGTGTGTTTGGCCTATTATATATGGGTGGTGCAGGTGCACACCCGAAAAGTCTCGTGCGTCTCCCTGAACCCGGCCAAGGAACATTTGATGGCGACATCCAGACTGGATGGGTCGTGTAAGGTTTGGGATACCCGCGCACTGAAAAAGAGCGGGGGAGCGGCACTGGCTGCCACGCAGCATGGGAAGAGCTGCACGAGCGCGTATTGAAGCGAGGACGGCGAGCGGGTTGTGGCGACGTCGTATGATGATACAGTGAGTTGCAATGGGGTGGAGGGTCGCCTGGTCGGTCTTGTTCCTGACCTCCTCCCCCCAACCCCACCGTGCACCACCACCGACCCAACACAGATCCGCATCCTCCGATTCTGGGACCCCATGTTCACCCAACTCGCCTCGATCTCGCACAACAACAACACCGGCCGGTGGGTGACGTGTTTCCGCGCGCAGTTTGGCGGCGGGAGCGCGTCCCCCTACGTAACCGTGGGCAACACGTCGCGGGGGGTCGACGTGAGTTGTGCCGTGCTTCACTTCTTTGCGACTCCCAAGGGCACTAACGTGCCACGTGCCGCGTGCTGCGCGTCCACAGGTCTACAACGGCAAGACCGGCGCGCGCATTTGCAATGATGTCGGACCCGGCGGTCGTGAGCGCGATTCCGGCGGTCAATGGCATGGTTGGTGGGGACGATGGCGGGCCGGTTGCGATCGTGGCGGGGAATGCGAGCGGGAAGGTTGTTGCGTGGTGTTGATGTGGGATGGGGTTTGGTGTGCGACGGGTGTGGACAATGGTGAGAA